GTCATGAATTTTAAAATTTAATAAATTAAAATTGCAAAAAGAGAAGAGAAAAGAAAGAGGGGAGGGATGAATTTAAATGATAATTTTATATTTACTGTACCTAATAAATTCCAGTTAAATATTTATTTTTAATTCTTCAGCCGAACGGGTTCTTCTTAATTTAACAAACGTTGATTTACATTTACATACAGAATGATTATTAAATGAATTTTTGGAATTTCGAAAGTATTGACCTCCTCCTCCTCCTCCTCCTCCTCTTCCTCCTCCACCCTGTAAATAAAATAAATATACATAAAGGATTGGAAGATTTTTAAGGGGAAAAAAATGAAAAAAAAATCTCAAGAAATATATATATATATATATAATATTATATTCTTTTAAATTATTGTATTGGCCACAGGCTGTCAAGAAATTTCCTTGATAAGTTATGCCTTAAGGAAAGAATCTACGCATCTTTCCTTTCCCCCATAGGATTTCATTCAATCCAACTTGATTATTATAAAAGGAAATATTCGAGATAATGAAAAGAGACTAACAATTGTATTAAAGTGTATTTTTTTATCAAATGACATCCACTTTAATTTGTTGCAATTGATAATGTTGCTATCATTACAATTTTCATTTTCTCCTATTTTCCATTCTTCACTAAATACATTTTCTTTTATAAATGTAGAGCTGCATGGATTAACTGGAAATAAAATTAAAAAATAATAATAAATAATAATAATAAAAATGAGAATAAAATTTAGTTAATTAATTTTCTTTTCTTTTATTACATTCATTCGTTATACATTTTATACAATAATAATAATAATAATCTATTAAAATAATAAGAAAATGTAATTAAATTCTATTATGTATACAGTCGACCCCCCTATAACACTGTCGATAATTCCGTTTTATATGAATTCCATATTGTACGAGTCACTTAGATTTTACAAATACGTGAGCCGTTCACAGCCCAGCACACATATTTGTAAAATCTAAGTGACTCGTACAATATGGAATTCATATAAAACGAAATTATCGACAGTGTTATAGGGAGGGTCGACTGTATTGTACTTTATCAATGTTAAAATACGTCAACCTCTCAATAACGGACACCTCTAAACGGCGGTTATTTTATTTAGGAAGGTGTAAAAATGTATACAAAATAACCTCCTAACAATGTTTACTCTTAATGGCGATCATTTTGGCCGTTGTTTAGAGGTTTGACTGTATTTAAACCATAGAAAATTGTTTTGATTAATTGAATTTTTTACAGAATTACTAACCTTTACTACTTTTTAACAAGAACTTCTCTTCTTTATAATCCTTGTACTTATAACGATTATCTACTTCATCTGTTTTTCTTATCAAATAATTAAAAAAAAAAAAAATACAAAATTTAATAGATTCTATAATAATTATTTACATTAATTAAGAACTTTTTTTTGATAAAAAATACATACAAAAATAATAACAACCACCTCCTCCACCCCCTTGAAACACCATAATGTCCGTTCTTCTGAGGTTTTCACGTATACGTTCCATGATTTATTTATATTATTAATATATTTTCAAAACAATTTATTATTCTTTTTTATATATGGAATAATAGACGTTATTGTTTTTATTCTTTTAAATTTGTGCGTAAATACATAAAATAATGTCACGAGAAATTCCTAAAATGTTTTAAAAAATACAAATGTTCTGTTCAAGTTTTGGAATTTTTTTTTTTTTTAAGAAAAATTGATTTGCGTTTTATGAAAAACTTGTATTAAATTTTCTATATAATATTATTTATATATTTTATCTTGATAAATAATCTTAAACAAACGTACATCATTTTTATTGTAGATTTTTATAAATTTGCTGCTGCGCTTATTTTTTTTTCCTCCCTCCCCCCTATGAAATTTTAATAATATAAATATGAAAACGTCATGATTTTTCTATAAAATGTTTTTATTTTTTTTTATTTTTATACAGGAGAAACATTTTGTAAAATAAAATCGTATTTGTTGCTATATCATCGATTTTCTATAGGAGTAGAGCTATACTAACAATTGTTCTGACCACACTTTTGTTGACTCGTGTAACTGTTTAGTGTCGTCTATTCCTCTAAGGGAGGTTAGGGATAATTCCTTCTTACTAAATAATTCGTTTTTTTTTTTTTTTTTCTAGATTAGTACACTGGACGTTGCATAATTCATGAAGAATACCAGGGATGTACAGTACACTATAGACAAGAAAACTTTTTGGGTTGTCACAGCTGATTAGTGCACCCTCCCTAAAACACCAGGTTATACCCAATAAAAAAAATGGAGGATTTTTTTCTGTATGTATGCGTGTATGTGTGTATGTAATGTCTGTAAGTGTGTGTGTGTGTGAGGGGGAGCACGATTTTTTCACTCAATTTAAAGCTTAATAACTCCTGTGTTTTTTGTCGAAAATTTCTGAAATTTTGCATGGAGGTTTGTGTATTTGTGTTATTGATGCTATTAAATTTTGGTGATTAAACGTCTATGGTGTGGGGAGATAAAGGGTGTGTCATATCTCGAGTAGGGTTTGAACTTAATGGCGATTTTACTCGTTAATAGCCATTACAGTTCTTTTATAAAAAAACATCCCTAAACTCAAAACTAAGCTTTTCTCTATTTTATAATAATTAAAACATATTAAAAGATTTTTTAATAAGATATCGCAATAGATGGCGCCACGCACAGTTTTAAACGTTGCCGGGAAAGTTAAGCAACTCGTTGTTGGATATATATATTTTTTTATCTAGTTTTGTGAGTTAATACACCTCTCTCGATAAGAAATGTTGTGAGATTGTGCTTTATACCGGGGCATGGCTTCTTCCTGGATTAGCACTGATGAAGATAACGTCATATAGTACTTCTACACTAGAAATTTCCTCCTCTTCCCAATCTGTGGCCAGTTATCTTAGTGTTAAAATGGCATGTTTGTGCCTGAGAGCAGAAAATTCTCTTATTTTTTTTTCCTTCGAGATTAGCGCAATTTGGTTTGTATGTTCTTAAGGATGCGAGAAAAATACACTTAAAGCTTTATTATTATTATTATTTTACTTTCTTTTCTGTTGTGACAGTGGGAAAGTATGGAAATTTTTATATTTTGGACTTGGAGGACCTTCGAGAAATGCAAAAAAAAAGTTGGAGGTTTTTTGTATGTATGAATGTTAGTGTGTGAAGAGGGGGCACGATTTTGTTCTCCAATTTGAAGCTTAATAACTCCTACGATTTTAGTTGAAAATTTCTGAAATTTTGTAAGTAGGTTTGAGTATTAGAAGGAAATATTTCCAGAAAATTTCAAGAAAATCAGAGTATTAATTCAGGAGATATCGCCCCACTTCTAAAATCTAGGGATTAATATTGAAGTTCCTAACCCCCCCCCCAATCTTCCCAACCAATCTGAAGATAATGGCAGCAATTATTAGGAATGAAAACAAGTAAAGACGTTCAGCAACAACGTTTCCAGCTTTATTTTTATATATATATAGGCCTATACTTTAAAAATTTATAGAAAATTCCGACTTAAAATAAAAAATATTCTTAATTATACACATATTCAAAAAAATTATTGCTTTTCACATTTACCTTACTCCAGAATTTGTTCCCCCTGAAAAAATAAAAGATATTCGTTTAATTAAATGAATTATTATTATAGTAATTAATGCAAATCTAATGATTTTACCTTAAATTATATTTAAATACAGATCAAAAACAAGAAAAATTCATCTTTTACAAGTCTCATTAAAATTTAAATCATTATAGCACAAGGTTACAGTAATTAAAGAAATTAATTTTAAATTTTTATATTTATTTGGTTGGTTAAAGTAATCCTTTGAATCTTCCAATGATTTCGGAAGTAATTACATGTAAGCATTATAGAGATTTAGCCAATTATATTTCACGTTAAAAAAAGAGTACATTTATATGTATATAAAGTTTCTTAGACTGAAGCAGACATTAAGATAAAGAATTTCGATCAAATCTTAAATAAATTAACATAAATTACTATTTACTTGTTTTATTTAACATTTTTAATAATGAATATTACCTTTTCTAAGTTAATAACACGTAAATTTGCCTCTAGGGATTAATATTGAAGTTCCTAACCCCCCCTGTGTAGAAAGTTCCAAACACTTGAACTTTGTCCACTCTTCTAGACACTTTCTTGAATTTTATTATTATTTTATTTATAAAAATAACAATTCTCTTTAAAAATTCTTTATACCTACAGTACATTGACTATATTTTCTGCATGGTAAAACCCTGAAGAAAAGAGTAATTACAGTCGACCCCCTATAACACTGTTGATAATTCATTTTATNATATTATTATATTATAGAAAGTTGGATATATAAAACAAATTGCTAGAGGTGAAAATAATATAGTTAAAATTCAAAAAGGATAACCATAACGACAATAACATTGAAAAATATTCAATTTTATAACCAACGTAAGAGATTTTCTGATACCCCAATAAGTATCACAAAACTGTTATCTTCAAGTTTATGTTCAATACAAACGACTGTGTTTGAAGATTTCTTCTTTGCAGATAAATATAAAAGAGATTTGTGAAAGTAGAATGTGGAAATTTCCCCTGTATCCGGAGTCAAACAGTGAAATAAACCTCTATTTCTAGTAGCCACTTTACCGAAAAAAAAAAAAATCTCAACACCACTTCATTAATCATTCGTGCCCATTGATTTCGCTTTTCAGCTAAGATTTTCTCATAAAAAAAAATCAAAAATATTTTTACTTTAAATACTAAATAAATGCCTTTTTGTTGTATAGAAACTTTCGACTTAGTGTTGAACTTCCCCTTTAATTTATGGGCAAGTAAAGAAATTTTTATAATTAAAATATATTACACACAACCAGCCGCATAAGTAACTGTTAAACAATATCTAAAATGAAATTTTCTCTTTCGTCTATTTCAAATAAAAATAATAAAACAACAACGAGAACAATGACATAGACATTTTTCATAACCAACCACAAACAATCATTACATTCATTAATCTGTTTAAATATTATTTTTACACGTGATTAATGGTTTTATATTGTAGCTTGTATGATCTTTTAAGTGACTCGTACAACATGGAATTCATATAAAACGGAATAATCAACAGTGTTATAGGGGGGTCGACTGGTACTATAAGAATTTGGTGAGGGTAATTCGAAGGGTTTAGAAGTTAATAGAGTGAACGAGTGAAGAATTCCAGATTTCAGGTAATCTATAGAATAAGTACGAGAAATTTGGTACTGTTCGGTCAGTGGGTTTAGGATTTAAAGAGGAATGAAACTAAGGGAGAGGGGTGGGCAGGTTTCATGTAGCCTATATTTTCCGCAGGGCTCTAAAGAATAATTATAAGAAATTTAGTGCTCAATCAATGGGTTTACGGATTAATAGAGGGTTAAATTGGGTATGGATAGGGTTAAATAACTCAAAAAATATTGTTCCGGATGGTCAAAAAGGTTCAGAAGTGTGTAGAGAACAGACAAGTTGATCATCTGTTTATATATATATATATAGATTATTTGTGCAAACAATAAAAATTCATACGTAAAAAAAATGAAAAAAGTAATAAATTTTATTAAAGTAAATTATATTTAAATACAGATCAAAAACAAGAAAAATTCATCTTTTACAAGTCTCATTAAAATTTAAATCATTATAGCACAAGGTTACAGTAATTAAAGAAATTAATTTTAAATTTTTATATTTATTTGGTTGGTTAAAGTAATCCTTTGAATCTTCCAATGATTTCGGAAGTAATTACATGTAAGCATTATAGAGATTTAGCCAATTATATTTCACGTTAAAAAAAGAGTACATTTATATGTATATAAAGTTTCTTAGACTGAAGCAGACATTAAGATAAAGAATTTCGATCAAATCTTAAATAAATTAACATAAATTACTATTTACTTGTTTTATTTAACATTTTTAATAATGAATATTACCTTTTCTAAGTTAATAACACGTAAATTTGCCTCTAGGGATTAATATTGAAGTTCCTAACCCCCCCCTTGTAGAAAGTTCCAAACACTTGAACTTTGTCCACTCTTCTAGAC